CCCCCTCCCCCCCCCCCCCTCTCTCCTGTTGTCCGCCTAGGAAAAATTGTCACGCTCGAAAAACTCCGCTCGATTCCACTCCTCCTCGTCGATGACTCCACGACGATCGGGCATTATCCCGAGTATTCCGGTACCGCGCCGCCGTTGACCCCTTAAGGATCCTTTGTTCTTGGCGCGAAACGGGCACGGGGCCCTGCGCGGATCGTCGATCGCGCGAACCGTCTCTCCCCCGGAGTCACGTGGCCGCGTCCGCGCGTGTTGGACTATACGGACGTGGTATTTCTACATCGATAGACATCCATAAGCGCGTCGTATTGGGTGTCCGAGATGCGCTTGGGCCCGCGAGAGTCGCCATTGGGTGATTAATGTCTTCCAATGTAGTCTGCCTCTCCTCGTCTTCTCTCTTCCTCCCCCTCCCCCGCTTCCCGTGCGGACCTCACGTATAGCCGGCTATTCACGTCACCGCGCATTCGTGTATCACGCATGCTCACGCACAGCGCGAGCTGCGAGTCACGTTGACGTCTCGACGTCTCACTGTCTCGCGCGCGCGAGCGCGCGCGGTGAACGCGGAAAAAAATAAATATCCTGTCCCGACTCTCTTTCGCGAGATCCTCTCGCGCTTTTACGTCTCTGCCTCCCCGTGCCGCTTTTGCCCTCTCCCCGCGTGCGTAATCCGTTTATATATCTTGGACGTGTCTTTCGTTACGCGATATTCACAAAGTATTTCTCTAATTCTAGTCGGGCGACAGAGAGAGAGAGAGAAAGAGAGAGAGAGAGAGAGGGGGAGGGAGGGAGAGGGAGAGGGAAAGAGTATGTGGGGAAAGGTCTGACGATACGAGAAATAACATGCTAGGATGGTACGGTATAGCTGGCGGGGAGGGAATCGCCCGGCTATCATTAATTTATCAATGTCCCGAAAGCGGGTTACTTCGCGCTTCGTGATTCCGTATACCAAATATACGCGCGCGTGTATGTGGGTGCCGAGTCACTCGGGATGGGACTGCCTAGTGTCAGTGTTCCGGAGGACTGAGGAATTCGCCTCGTAAGGCACCGAAGCCAGCTGCGATCCTCGAACCGTTCCTTCTTCCCGCCTTCATCCGAGTGCGAGCCGCGCGGTGCTTCTTTTCTTCGGGCGAGCGAGAGAGCGGAGGGGGAGGGAGGGAACGAGAAAGAAATAGAGTGGTCTTTGAAATTAATAAATATTCACCCGACTTCGGGGCCCGCGCGCCCCTGTCCCGCGACGCCCCCGGGGCCCCCCAACCCTTTCCCCGCTTTCGTCGCTTTCGTATCGTTTCGGCCAGGAAAAAAGAAGAGCCCGGGCGTCGAGGCGACTCGGTGGCCGCGCGCACGCGGCAAAAATCGCTCTATTAGCGATTTCCGCTGTCGCGCGAGATTCCGGTTTTCTCAATTCGGTGTGGTCAACGCAGAAACGGCTCGCATGCCCGACACCGGGACCACCTGTCGTCGTAATCGCGGCGTTATCTTTTCCACCTCGCCGCCACTTAAGGCCGCATACCTCGCGGGTGCCATGCCGGGACATTCGGAACGAAAGCAAAATAATCGCGGTTTCTTTCGGTCGACCAAACGTCCATGAGACCGGGTAGCGCGTTATATATTCAACGTGATAACGTTACACGATTGGCATTCCTCCACGGTATCGTTCACCAGGAATACATACAAGTGTCGCTCCGCGTAAATTATGACGAGCTGCTACCAAGACGCAATTAACTTTATATCGCCGATCGGTACTTGGCCTCGCGCGATCCTCGATCCTCGATCGCGATCCGCCGCATGCCGGCGGGGTTCGATCATGCTCTCGCAGCGTCTGGGGCACCGGCGAGCGCCCAACTTAATCCCCCGTTGACTTATAGGGCCCGCCTATGTGGAAGAACAAATGAATAAATTAGGGCGGGGTCGTTTGGTAGCCGACGCGCGCGTACGGCCCTGAAGATTTATAGATACCCAATACCAGTTCTCTCGCCGCCGCCGGATACACGGGATTCCCCCTCGTCGTCCTCTGCCCTCCTCGGTGCGTTAAATCCTCGCTCCTCTGGGGTACGAAACCGAGGGACAGGCGGGGCGAGCAGCGGGCGCTACTATTTACCTGAAGCGACACTCGTCGGATGTGGCGGACGAGATCCATCGTTTTCCACCGTTGGAGGGTCTCACGTTGTCGGGGAAACGTTCCTCATGCCCATTTCTACCAATGCAGATTAAGTTTAATTCCTGTTTAACTAAGTCTTCGTCTTTCCCCTGAGGCTAAAAAAAAATTAAAAGTTAGTTAAACGAGATCAGAGTTAAGCCACCGACACACTACTATTTTTCCTACTGGTTGCTTACGAGAACCAATCAGGATTTAGCCTTAAGTCACCCGATCCTAAAACTCTGCATCCTTATTGGCATCTCGCATGCAATCCAGTAGGAAAAATAGTATCGTGTGCCGTTGGCTTTAATCTACATTGGTAGAAATGGGCATCGGTGTCGTGCAATTCGCTGTGCTTGCGGAAACGCGCGCGCGCGGGGGTTTCCCCGAGAGAAACCGCGCGAACGGGCGATCGTTTTAAATCGACCGAAACAATCGGGACGCATCTCGTTACCTGGACGCTCCGGAAGATGGACGGATCGTAAAAAACGATCACGATCGCGTACGAACTAGCTCCTAGGCGTGCCCTTTGCGCGATCACCATAACCAGTAATATCCCCCGAAAACATCGCGTCATGCGACGATGACGATGCAGACGCGAAGACTAATCCCTCCATGAGCTTACCATATTTTTCCATACAATAATGCCATGGTCGATCGGTCGTTGATGCATTCTTCTACTTCTTCTTCTGCCTCGACTCTATGCTCTCCTCCCGCTTCCCCTTTTTCTTCCCTTCCTTTTTCTTTCCTCCTTTCCTATATGTCTGCATTTCTTATCGATCCTTTTTCTTCTCCTTCGCTTCGCTCGCCCGTTCTTCCCGCGCGTTCCGTCTCCCTCTCTCCTTTCGCGCACGCTCCCGCATACGTGGGCACGACCCTCGCTGAATTTCGCGCTTTAGTTTTCCTCGCCCTCGCTCCGTCGTTGTCCCCAATAATTGTCTCCCCGTACCTCTCGTCGGCCCCTTTTCCCGAGTTCTCTCTAAATCCTCACCTCGCACGCCTCGCCGGCACGGGCTCAAAGAGACCGGAGCCATTTGTATAGAGATCGGAAGCCGCACGACTGAGACATCGAAATAATCTCGACGTAATCTACTCCTCGAATCGCGATACCGATCCTTGAACCGAGGAGGCTCCGACGCCCTCGTTCGGCAGGACACCGAGTGGCTGAGTAGTATGTTAATGAGGACAGGACTGCCGCCACGGGTCCTCGCGCTCTCGGAGGTCTCGGACGAACCTGCCGTCAGCGGGTAAAAATAGTTTTTCGCTCGTGTCCGCGTACGACCCCGCGAGAACCGAGGCGTTTATTAGCCGTTGCCATTCGTGGCCGCGCGCCCCGTCCATAACGAAAGAGAGAGGAGAGACTCGCGCGAGTCGATCAATGATGAATGACGGTAAGTGGGTGATAAATGGGCGGTACACACCGGTACACCGATCGGCCGCATCGACTCCCTTTGTCACTGATTACGCGCGTCGATTAACTTTTTTAACGCTCGCGCGCGCGTTGGAAAGTTGACGGCGACTTGTCACGCACAGCTTTCACACGGGAGAAATCCCCGGCGTTCGCGCTTTTGCAGAACATTCGGCGCGAAATGCGCGAAATGCGGGCGCATCGTGGGCGCAGGCGACTGGGTGAGGAGGGCTAAGGACAGGGTCTACCACCTGGCGTGTTTCGCCTGCGACGCCTGCTCCCGTCAGCTCTCCACCGGCGAGCAGTTCGCGCTCCTGGACGCTCGACTACTCTGCAAGGCCCATTATCTGGACGTGGTTGAGGGTAACAATACTTCCTCGTCGGAGGATTGCGACTCCGAGCACGGCGGCAAAGGCAGTAAGACGAAGCGCGTGAGGACGACCTTCACCGAGGAGCAGCTCGCCGTTCTGCAGGCCAACTTCCAGATGGACAGCAATCCCGACGGGCAGGACCTGGAGAGAATAGCCCAGGTAACCGGCCTCAGCAAGAGGGTCACGCAGGTTTGGTTCCAGAATTCCAGGGCGAGGCAGAAGAAGCACAGCGGCAAGATCAAGACTCAGAGTAAGCCACCGGAAGCTTGTCACCCTCTCGCGCGAGGTGTCCCTCGCGATTCAAAACACCTATTTTCGTGTGCTTGCAGTGCATCATTCGCCGCCGATGCACCATCACCCGGTCGATCTGTATTCCGGTGGGATTAACGTGGTCGGCGCTTATCTTGGTGGTTATCAGGCCAGCAATGCCGGTAGCGAGAGCCCGGGCAGCCCGTTAACGCCCCTCACACCCTTGACTCCGCTCACGCCGACGACGCCGAATCACTTGCAGGCCCAATTCTGCCATCCAGCGGGATAATCCGACGCGAATGTTTCCACGATGCCGTTGATATTAATTTCTTGTAATCGCATATGCGCTCTCAGTTGCAGATCGTATGATTCGAAGACACGTACAAGTCGCGACGCCAATTTGCAAAAGTCATGATGTCTATTTCGTTCTTATATTCGGTGCACGAGAAACCGGGTGATAAGATGTATCCCTAACTGGTACGCCAGTTACAAATCACTACGAGTCGAGAATCAACAGTTACATAATTGCGGAAATCTTAAAGCGAATTAATTTGTATATACGTCCCGAGGAGATGTGTAAAATATGCGCGCGTTTATCAGTAGTACAATATGTAACGTATGAAAGGTACAAGTTTTTCGTATTTAAAGTTAGATTAAGCTTATTTATTCCGAAGTCTTGTAACAATTTACATGTACTTGCGACGGCGAATAGAATTTCTTAGACGACGAGGAAGGAGAAGGAAGAGCGCGACTCTAGACTGTCGCGCCCGTCTTTCGAAACTTGGACGTAGGATATTCTTTATTCGTAGTACGAGATTGTATATAGAGCGAATTGTAGCTTTTGTACATATGTGTCTTCTGTTGGTAAATACAGGAAATATATTGTGTCAAGTGAGAGAGAAGCGTGGTGATCAGGTCTTGATATCGCATACTTGTCGCTGCAATATTATAAACCGTACTGTTATTAATAAAACGCCTTTTATTGTTACATTTCTCGTGATTATTGTCCCTCGATTGTCATACGATTTTCTGACTGCCAACAATACAATTGGGGATCGTGCGGGAGAGATTTTCGGAGGGAGATGGTCGCGGCGGTCGAGAGACAAAGGCCATCCTTTTGTTCAACGTGTGCAATCGCATATATTTATGTACGTTTAGTTTACAATATTTACATCACAGGACATTCATATCGAATGATTTTACACGACTATTGAGATTACTACGAAAGATACTTTCATTTCAAGCATTGCTACGGGACGCGAGCAAAATTCCGTTGACGCGACGCGTCTCCGATGACGTTCAGGGGGTACTTATTACGTAACTATTCGCGATTCCGGATCGGATTTTCGAGTTTCCGATCGCGACTCCGTTCGTGCCTTTAGATTATTATAAAACCTTATATGACGGAATCGGCTTTCCGTGATAAAACGGACTGTTTTAATCAACCTTAGCTGAAAAAAACGCATCGTTTTAACGCGTGTCATAAGCAGGATGACAAAGTACAGTACCGGCCAATAATATATCACCTTTCCATTTTTTAGCATAACTAATTTTAAAGTGCTCGAATGAAAAATTCGAAAATCAAGATGTACTTTGTCAAATCATTACCCTTCGTGTATGCACTGAGAGAAAAAATAGTCATTTTTGGAGCCAACTATATTTTTTATAATTCCTCCAACGTAAATTATGGTTGACCTAACAATGTGATAGTTCTCATAACCACAATATTGGTTGTCATAAACCAAAATATGGTTGGCTCCAAAAATGACTATTTTTTTTTCTCTCAGTGTGGTATACAAGTACCTGTTATCAGGTGTCTACTGTAAAATTTTGAGCATATTCGGTGCACTTCGACGAAAGTTATGCTCAGAAAATCTTAAGGTGATTTACTTTTGACCGGTACTGTAAAAATATATTTAATTTGGTCGGGCTTTAATCTTAAATATAATAATTTTTAACATTAAATAAATAAGAATCATCATATAATCTTGCGGGACATGCTAATAATATAATATAATAATATTAAAGATTAGTCTCTTCAAATTGCCAGTTAATAAAATTCAAAATTTCATTCGACCACAGCTGGCCACATTTGTTAATTAATTGGTTAATGCAGAAAATTTTAAGTCGAAAAACAGATGCGTGGAACGTCATCCGTATAGCTATTGCGACAAGTATTACCACACGCCTCAGTGGTCGAATTGGTGAGACGCCCGCCTAGAGAGTAAGGGAGGTCCAGGTTTAAACCCTGGCTGAGGTAATATTTTTCGCAATAAATTTTCTGCATTAACCGATTAATTAACAAATGTGGCCAGCTGTGGTCGAATGAAATGTGAAATTTTAATAATATTATTATTATGATATCATAACATGTTAAAGATTACATAACGAAGATTAGTTCGTCATTTATCGAACATCGTAAAAATGACATTATATCTAAGACTTTGGGATTAAATTGAAATCTTTTGGACTCACTTGAAAAAGTCTGAAATTTTCCGATCGTTTCAGATACCGAGTGTTCATAACGCGACAAGTGACGAGAATCGTTCCAAGCGAAATCGTTTCCGAATAGATTCATAACAAGTGCCCAGGATACGTATCCTCTTTTTTTTCCGTCTACGTTCGCTTTAAAGGCTTCGTTAAAGCGGACTTTTCTGGTTGCATCAGGCACCGACACGAGGGAAAGAATAGAGAGACGAGGGAGAAAAAAACGAGTACAAAATCATCACATACAACTGGGAAAGAGGTAGGCAGATAGACCGATTCGAAATTGCAGGACGCAAAGTTACACATGTGCACAACGCACACACGCGCGCATACACGTACGCACCTTGTCGCGTGTGTAACGCGGAACAATACTGGTTCCAGTAAGTTTAACACCGAGAGCGCGAGATATATGTTGCGATCGTAACTCGAAAGTACGTCATCGAAGAGTAATAGCGAGCGACGAATCAACTTCCACTTTCCTTGGGGATAAATAAAAAGATAACCAGGCATTCACCGATGCTTCCTCGAGACGCGGTATCTCTCCTCTACCTTCGACGCTTTTTCTTTTAAAGCAACGCCATGTGTATTTACAATATAATAATCGAAATCGTCATTAAACCTCGTTCGGCATAGACAGCAGCATCGAGTCTTGCGAGAGCTCGTCCATAGACTGCTCCGATCCTGAGAACAGAGTTAATGGAATCGCGATTACACGTGTACCTGATCCCGTCCGATCTCTAACTAATTCACGAATTTCCCCGATCCGGAGCCTCCGACCGCGACGACGCGGGTCTTTCTCGCGAAACTCCCGGGATGTTGCGAACGACCTCTTACCATGATTGTGATAAATGGAGCCTGTCGGGCTCTTGCACGTGGCCGGGCTAAGCTGCGGTTGCTGCTGCTGCTGATGCTGCTGCTGATGTTGAAACGAGTACGTCAAATGCAAGTTGATGTGGCGGCCGAAATCGTTAGGCGATACGGTGGAGTTTGGCGGCGATTGGTGCACTGCAAAAAATTCATTCCTTCGACGCTGACAATTACGATTACTATTATCGACTACGCGCGATCGCGACGGCAACGTTTTGCGGAAATGCGGGGAGACGTCTGGCGCCGAGTCTCGCTCACCGTGCTGTCCCTTCATCTTGCCCGTATGAAGGTGCTTCTTCTGCCTCGCCCTCGAATTTTGAAACCACACTTGCGTCACCCTCTTGCTGAGTCCGGTTACGTGCGCTATCCTCTCGAGGTCCTGGCCGTCGGGATTGCTGTCCAATTGAAAATTCGCTTGGAGAACGGATAGCTGCTCCTCGGTAAATGTGGTTCTAACTCGCTTCGCCTTGTTACCGCCCTTGTGGCCACTCTCTGAGTCACCGCCTTCTGCGAAAGTACCAATTAGCCGTACCCACCTCCCACATCGTTACGCGATCCACCCCGGTGCGTCTTGTACAATGGAGGATCGCGAACGGTGTATACTTTTATCTATCAAGCTAGTTCGATTCGCCAGCACCGTAATTGCCAGAAGAAGCGAAGCGCAACGCTGAAGACTAAATTTAGCCAGGGATACGTTACTTGGACTCGCAGAAGCGTAAAGACTCTGCGTCCTAATTAGTCTTGAAATCTCAGACACCGGGCGCGTTTAAAGAATAATATTTATTCTACGTCAAAACTTCTCGGCACGTTCGCGCGACATTCTCACCATCGGAGGAGGTGTTGTTGCCCTCGACGACGTCGAGATAGTGCGCTTTGCAGAGCAGCCGGGCGTCCAGGAGGGCGAATTGCTCGCCGGTCGACAGCTGACGCGAGCAAGCGTCGCACGCGAAACAGGCCAGATGATAAACCCTTTCCCTGGCCCTTCTCACCCAATCCCCGGCACCCACGATGCGCCCGCATTTCGCGCACTTGGCGCCGAAGGTTCTGCAAAACACGTACATACGAGAACCCTCGCTCGCGTTCGGCCGCGGTAAACTGCCGCGGGCGTGTATCATCTTATAAGCGTAAGTACGTGTCGCGGCGTTCCCGGATTTATTTTGCGAGATACGTTATAACGACAGCCAATATAGCCGACTCACTCGACACTCGATCGAACGAGCGGGCACGGGGTGTGTAATGATAACCGCTCGAATGTATCTCGGCGGGTGCGGGCGAGGGGGAGGCCGAAGGCCGCGAAGGTATCCCGAGAGAAGAGAGAAGAAAAGAGACTTAGAGAAGAGATATTCGTGTCGAGGAGCGAGTGGTCTCCATCGGCGCGTGTTTCGCGGCCGTTTATTTCTTCGGCTCTCGCTCCTCGCCCGCGTCCCCTCCGCTTGCCTGCAAGCTTCGGGGAGGATCTACGAGAGACGCAAAGTGTCGTACACCTTCGCGCCGCCTTTCCGGTCAATACCCCGCGCGTATCGGCGCGTCGGTAATCCGAGGCTCTTGCGTTTTAATTAACCTTCGGTTGTGTGCGCGCGCGCGGAGAAAGCGATCGGAGAATTATACAATAGCCCCCCCCCTCTCCCCGTGCATTAATTAGCCTGGAATTATACAGGTTGCGGTTGTACACCGTCGAGAGCCCCGCGGGCCCGGAGAGTCCGCGATCTCTAATAAAGTGTATCGCATGCTCGCATGTAAATCCGCCCGGGTCGATTCTAATAATACCGGCGCGCGTTCGCGCAACGGGGTCCGGACGGCCGTAAACGGTAGCCGTGTACCAGCGGAGAGCACGACCGGATGAACGGCCGGGGGTTCGCGCCTACCGTGAGGATGCGCGACGGGCGAACGAGCGGACGCTCGTACCTTCGGCGCGCTACAGCCGGCCCGTGTCGCCGGCGGTGTCGCGGCCGATAATTAAACAACGACCAGACGGCCCATTAGCCCATTATCATATTCATGAACACGGAAAGTGCATCCGAGCCGGTACCCCGTTTATGCGGATTGTGTTTGCGAATGCCTGCGGCGTACATCGGCGCGCTTACGGGTATCTCGGGGGGGTTGCCACGCGACTATCCCGGTGGTCATTTCCTCCCTGCGCCGCGGATGTTGGCTGCCCGAAAAATATCTCGCTGGTATCGCGGTATCGCCATGCCGCGCGCGTCCGAGAAATAGCTTCATTTCACCACGCGGCTGTCGAAAGGGACGCGTGCGCCGTGCCCGCCATCGCGACGTCCTCGAAATCCCGTACGCTTCTCCGAACAGAGATTGGAGAACAAAGGGGAGAGACGCGATGTAGATTCTATCGCGCGACGAGTCCGGCGAGATTAAACTTTTCTGATCCGCCGATACGCGCGCCTTAATACCATTGTCCTTTAAGAGGGGAAGCGGCTAATTCCTTGTCCTGGCGCTAAAGGTGATCCCCGTCACGCCCACATCGGAAGCTAGGGAAGGATTTGAATTTCGAGTGACTTTCGTCCGCGATTACGAAACGCCGCTCGAGGAGAGAGGGCCATGGACGTCGACGCGAAATGAGAAAGAGAGAGAGAGAGAGAGAGAGAGAGAGAGGGGGGGGGGAGCGGAGTTTAAATAAAATCCTACGCCCGACGCTTTATTCCGCGTGGATTCCGATGGATTTTATTTTTCTTCTCTCTCTATCTTTTTTGGACGTTTCATCCATTATCGCGCGAGAGGAGACCGGACGGTTCCGGTTCTCTCGGAGGCGGTTGTCGGCGGCGGTTGTCGACGGGTTTACGGGGTCCACGGGGTCGCGCCGGGATCCCGCCGGCGCGGCGACCGGGTCATCGAATGGCAGCGTTACCAGGCAGAAAGCACGAGTCAAAAAAATTACGCGGCAGATTCCTTTGGACCTCCCGCACACTGTCGGGCCCGAGCTCGGCCGAGTTAGCCGGCGTTGAAAAGTAACCTCGGGACTCACGGTTCTCGTGTAATTAACGAGGATGCATCTCACTCAATTCTCGCGGGCGGGAACGAAAATTGCTCGATCTCGAGCGATCGGTTCTCCCGCGGCTCGCCGCGCGACGACGCGCGTGTATCGAATTTAACACGAAATCGAACGTTGCGGATGTTCGCGATCGCCAGATGCGGCGCGCCAGCGATCGAATATATCGCGACGTCTCGCGTCGGCCTCAGTTGGTGCAAGAGACCCAGGTGACTGAAGTAACTGATTGACAGTTGGATAAACACATTGGGCAGGCTGCGCCCGAAGCCTTCCGTACAATCGACGAGTCACCGCGGGTTCCGTCGACTTTGATCTCCACGACCGTACGTCTTACATCGCTATCGATGCACATCGCGCGCCAACAAAAATATTCTACTTGTTCATTCAGCGACGCGAACAAAAAGAAGCGGCTCTCTTCTCCCACCCCCGCTCCTCCCCCGTCTCGTTCTCTCTCTTTCTCCGTTGACACGTATAACTCGTTGAGCCGATTTAATTGTCCAATCAAATCGCGCAACCAAAAGAGCACCGCGAGTATTATTTCAGGTGAAAGTGCCAATCGATGGTCGACTTACAGGGCGTAGTCGTGCCTGCAGTACACCCGTATGGGGTTTCCTCTCAGGAAGCACGATTGCTGATCGTGCAACGGCCTGGAACAGGCGCAACACCTCAGGCACCTGGAGTGCCACGTACGTCCGCCCACGCAGAAGACGGTCCGCTCGCGTACCCGCTCGCCGCATCCACCGCACTCCATTACGCTCGGCGACGTTTCCGGGCCGACGACCAGCCCGCTGGTGCCCTCGGGACAGGCGAGATTGGGACCGCCGATGCTGCCGTCGCACGCACCATCGCCGCTCGTGTCCTCGAGTTCCGTCTGCAGCAAAGTCCAGATTTTGTCCGTAAACATGATTGGCCCGCCCACAAGAATCCCATAAAAACGCGCGTTCGTCAAACGCACACTAATTAACTTCACTCGCATGGTTTCTTTTTATACGCGCGTTTTATACTGTTTCAATTTTAGATTTATCATCCGATTTTATCTATTTCGCTAGATATCAGAGAGTTCGCCTCAGAATTATTGGAATCTTAAATATTTAGATCTTGATTAGAGCGCTCAAATTTATTAATGGTGTCTTCTAATTCTCTAACATCTTGAAAATTATTAGTTAATGTAAAAACTGAAATTATTATTTACTTAGCATAATTGACAAGAAGAATATTATTGTCGCCAGTACTTGATCAACAAGAGGAAGAAAACTTATTTGACGACTTTAAACTGGCTAAGTGATTTAATTTAATAAATCATTCCAATTTCGACCAAGGGGGTAACCACTTGATGTAATCGTGGGGCAGTGTCTCCAAAATCATTATGAAATCTTTACGAAATCCCCGTGTAATCGGTTTGTCTTAATTTTCAAGTTACTTCACTCGTTACACAATAAACATAAAATTTGAACATTTTCTCAGCTTATTTTTATTTTCCAAACAAATTTACTTCTTGTAGCGAATATCCAAATATATATCGTAGTTCTGAACTCGCTTAGTATTAATGCGGTGCAGCTACAAAGAATAAACCAACCGATAACGCAATTTTTCTCGAGAACGTCAAACGTAGAGTCCCAACCCTGATTTACGGGGACACGCCCCCCTCGTTCGAGAGTCATTTCGCCGATGACACCGAGGGGTTGCATAGCCGACGACGTTAACACCCCGGGTTTAGCGTAACAAGACCGGTAACATAATGACCAAGGGAGAGAGAGAAAGAGAGAGAGAGAGAGGGAGAGAGAGAGAGAGAGAGAGAGAGAGATTCGGAGGCGACTGGCTACCCGGACGGCCATTATGCGTCCCATCGGCGTTACCGCAGCCTCCCTGGAACCCTTATTCGGGGGAATGTGTGCCGTGGGGTGTTGCGGACGCGCGGGGAGCGCGCGCGGCGTGCATTACCACGGGCGTGAGAGGTGCCGAGGCGAGAACACGCGTTTACACGCCGTGCGCGTACCAGCACAACCCGGTTGCTCGACACCGACACGCGTGTCACCATCATTGAAAAGGAACGGGCGCCGGTTTCGTGTCGTCTATGGGGAGAGGACCACGAATCGAGGTGCCGTTGGCTGCCGCCGATCGCTGCGGTTACGTTAGCTCGCGGCGGGGTGCCTTCTGCGCTTGACCAGCTGCCTGGCGGATCGTTTACCGGGTTCGCGATCTCCGGATGCGCGCGCGCGCGCGCGCGGAAGCGAAAAGTCGCGGGGCCGTGAGACGTCGGAGTGAGAGACGCGGGGCGATAAATAACCGGCCGGTTAAATAAATGTAAGAATCGTTATCTCCCGACGCGGCTCAATATAAATTCAGTTCCTCGAGGCGCGGCAGCCCCGGTTGAACTAATTTGTTTTAACAACATCGCAAATCCGATTAGCGCGCCTTCCGTCCGGAGATTCGAGAAGATAATTGAAAGCGCGAGGAGAGATACGATATCGATGTTGTTCCGCGTGTTCGAGCGTTTTACGCTTTACGCGAGTTCTGTGACGTGCGTAATTTATACCGGTACATTCAACGCGCCGTACAACGGTGCTCTCTCTCTCTTTCTCTTTCTCGCCGTGTGTGAGTCCGGATGAGGGAACGCTATCCGCGTGTTCGCGTTCTGCGGGAACGTATCAGCGGCTAATCCGCGCTTATGCGTACGCGCGCATTCGCGAGGCGGAGGGGAGTCGTAGGTGACAATAATAACTTCGAGTTACACGGGAAGCGGCGTCGTAAACCGCGGGATTAGACCTCTTCCGTCTAATGTATGTGCGTTCGAAAGAGCTCGCGCGGAGAAGCAACGAAAGTGAGCGGCTCCGTAGTGGAACTCGAGACGCGGCCGAGAGTTCAGTTAGATTTGCATAATTAAAGTCCAGTCTTGAATGGACTCGAGGCGCGCCGCTCAAATTTCTTTTTATTTCGCGGATGATCTTTGCAGATCTATCGCGTAAAGGGCAACTGCGGGTATCTAAGGGCACGTTTAACGGCGATTTAACGCCCGTTGTTTTGTCATTGTTATCGCACAGATCGCGGTTAATCTGTTTTCAATCGTCTCTGTACAAGTATATTATCTTTTCAAAGTAATAGAGACGTAATTTCCGTATTAAAGGCGCATCGGCGACCCTTCAATCCCACATAATCGGATCTAAAGGTTTACCTATTCTGGTAATCCCGCTTTTACGATGTTATTGACGCTTACTGGAAGAAAGCTCTCGAGCGATATCGCGAAGAGGGGGGCCAGGGAGGGGGACCCACAGTGAATTTGTATATTTCGTACCAGTATTGAGTCCTCGTACATGCCTATGTTTAGAATGGCCGTGAGGTCCTATTCTTATAGAACTCGAGTGGTTTCGGTTTCGGTTTAGGTCCCTTTTTCCGAACTATAGACACTGCCATTGGGTATGACTTTCAAAGCTGAAAGCCTGTCGACGGGGGGGCCCGTAGGGGTCCGAGCTACAAGCTACCCGCCTTCATCGGCCCTTGCGGCTCCGTGACAGTCTGGGACACGGTTGTGTCCATTGAAATCGATACTTCTTTCCCTGGCGAAACCATTCCCGTAGAAGGTATGCGCTCGTCCACATAATAATCATAATGCGATCTGGCACCGTAAAACCGAAAGTTAACCGACGCGACGATCGTCGCCTCTTTTTTCCCCTCTTTTTACAATCGCTGGATTTTAACTTCAGTCGAGTCGCACCGCAAATATAAGTGACGACGAGTATGATTACGTTCGAATTTGTGCATAATAATCGACGATGGAGGAAGCTGCGTCGTTTAGACAGCGAGTGGATATTTGGGGAATGCAGGATATGCTGCAATCTTTGAACCGATTGTCGCGCGCGCGTTGTATGTAACCGGAATTACGTACCCCCGGGGTTTCCTATCTTGTCACACACGGAACGCAAATTCGTTTTCAGTCGCTAATGAACACGACCGTTAATTAGAAACGAACACTTTGTAGTAGACTGACTGGATGCGCGGGCGGCGTTACTATCTAACAGAATTTGCCGGCACACACGGACTCTCGTTAGAGGAATTTATTAGGGGGCGAGCGAGAGAGCGAGAGAGCGAGAGAGGAGACGAGAGCGCGCGACGGCGCGAGAATTATGGACGTCGGAATATCCGCGTCGACGACCGCATCTCCGAAAGTGCCGATCGTTACCGGGACGGAGTAAAGTTCTGTCCAAGGGGGTAACTACTTGATGTATAAATCGTGGGACAGTGTCTCCGAAATCATTATGAAATCCTTACGAAATCTCCGTGTAATCGTTTTGTCTTCATTTTCAAGTTTCTTCACTGATAGAAAAAAATGGTTGCAGTTACCACAATCTCACTATAATTTATAGTCATTTTAGGAGCCAATTTTTATAATTCTTTCAACTACGTAAGTTATGGTTGTATTATAGTTCTCAATGTATTATAGTTCTCATAGACACAGTCTTGGTCCATGCAACTTATGATATGGTTGTCATAAACCAAAACGAGCTTTTAATTTGGTAAGGTGTACTATAAATATTGCAATAACAACCACAAGTAAAATTTCAAATAACTATATGTAATAGTAATAATCGTATTTACATTGGAAGTAATATTCCCCGCTTTTTATTATATATGCATTGCATTCACTGTGTTCATTGGTTACATCACTTTGCACTCATAAAGAATAGTGCAAGAAAGCATCTTTCAAAGGAAAGATAAGTAATCTTACACGAGTGCATAAACTTATCCGTATTTATAACACCCTACGCGGTTTTCTTCTTACGAGAAAGTCTTATACCGCGTATCTAGTGAAGACATTCCGAAGCACTTCACTTTTCTTTACTGTGTACTATACTATTTGTGTGTACTGTACTTCTTTACTTTATACTAATACAAAATTACTTTTCGTTAAGACCACAATTAGATTAGTCGGAAAAGTGGGCAGCCAAGAAACACGTGACCGAATACTACAATCTTAACTGAAATTACTTCTACAAGCAAATACTTCTTACAATTAGTAAAATAAGAAAAATATATTTTGTGGAAATCTAACAGCTCTTTGAGGTTTAACAACGTTACATATTTTTAAACGCGCGTATAAGAAAATTATTTGCAATTAGATGAAATTATTTGTAATGAGATGAAATCGTGTAATCGGTGGGACAACATTTTAGCTAGTGGTTTACCCCTTTGGCTCTCCCTTTCGCTCTCGTCCGTCGGACTTGTCAGCTTTCTTCCTCTCTCACGCGAAGGCAAACTTGAGCTATTTATCTGCCATCGATTAGGGAGGTGATGCTGAACGCCGGGACAGCGGAATGCGTTGCACGACGGAGACTCCGGACTGCCCGGGGTGAGAAAGAACGAGACGCGATCCCGATCTACTCCGAGCGGGGCGCCCCTACACGCTCGTTCTTTTCGCGTCTACACGGAGCCCAGGTGACAAGTTGACAAAGTGGCCGACTACACAGGGCTGACTGTCCTCCCGTTTCGAGACGACGAGCGATCGGAAATAAATGCCCCGTCGGGGTTTTGTGTATCTCGAGTACCTCTTCGAAAACGGCGGTCCGGCCCGCGTTTCGGGAGGCTGTGGCGAGGGAAGGGCACGAGCCTCTTTCACGCCTTCGTAAAAGAGGAGCGCTCCGCGTGGAAACGGATCGTTGCGCGCGCGCAGGCAGGTACAATAGACCCAGGGCACCGATCCGTCCGGAGGGTAGGAGGGGAGGGCGGGGGACGCGGAGTCCCGACCGGCCACTCGAGATCCATTTAAATTGCCATCCGATTTCTGGTTTCGCATGCCACATTGTCGCCGCCGCCGTCGTCTATCTTAGGGCCCCGACATTGTGCCACATGGGACGCTGCGCGGCAGGGAAAGAAGAGATTCGTCTCACGATTAGTTCGAACCGCTTATTG